AAACAAACGTCATGCAAACTCTGTACAGGAGGGAATGAGCTTAAATTTTGCGTGAAATTAAAAAAATTGAATATTGTCGATAATAACAATTTTGTGAGGACAAAAAATCTTTGCATAAAATGTTTGTCACTTGCGCGTACTCTAAAAAATGTGTAAGCAAATTCAATTGCGTTTATTGCAACAAAAGACATCATTCAATGTTATAAATCACAAATTTTTTCAGCTCACCTCAAAATAATGTTAAAAGGGCATTAATTACAACAGCAAATCCCGAAAATCGCCAAGAAGCAGCATGCTGCTCAAAGGGCATAAAAACGTGAGTGCTATTGTACTATTGTACTACCCACAGCAGTCGTCTCCATCGAGCATCGAGGAGACCTTTTTAAACTTAAGGCCTTAATAGCAAACATTTGGAAAAAGTTTCACACCTAAAGCTAGCAGATCCCAACTGCAACCCCCCCGCTCAAGTAGATGCACTACTAGGCAGTGACCTTCTAATGCTTAATACTTGAAGGTGTTGAACAAATTAAAACCACCCTTCTAGCCTAAAATACTATATTCGGTTGGATTTTTAATGGACTAGTTACAGAACCAGTTACCACTATGAAAACTCAGGTTTAGAAAATCTCATACGAATACCTCAATTCACAATTGATAAAAACCAGATTCAATGATATTCATATTAAATTGGCGTATCTTCAAATACGTATTCAATGGGGACGTTCAAAAAATTTATCGACAAATAGTCGCACATAAAGACGACCAAGATTTTCAGCGAATTATTTTCAGAAAATCCCCTAATAGTCGGCTACGCGACTTTAAGTTAAAAGCAGCCATCTTCGGCGTTAACATAGCCATTCGAACGCTACACGAGCTAGCAGAAAACACCAAATCAGAATTTCCTCTGGCAACTCCGGTGTTAAATACACAAACTTATGTAGACTTTATCCTGTCTGGAAGTCTTCAACAAGCATACGAATCACTATCACAAGTTACCCTATGGTTTTCATTAAAAAAGATAACGGCGAACAACCCTAATATCCCAAATGACATCTAAAGAAAACTTGTTGTACACCAATTTCTTCAAATTTGAAAAATAAAGAACAACAAAAACTCTGGGGAAACAATGGAATGCCATATTTGACCAGTTTTCATACACTGCAGAGTTCATATTTGCATTATCTGTCATAACAAAGATACAAATTTTATCCTCTGTGGCAAGACTTTTTGACCCTGCAAGTGGCTTTCGCCAAATATGATACAAGGGAAAATCCTGATACAAGAGTTATAGCTAGAAGAAACCGACTAAGACAAGATCTACGTGAAACCTCTGCGCTCAGAAAAATGGTCCCAGTTCGCAAACAATCTGAACGACATTCGTAGATACAAAAACCACGATGAGTAAACTATTCTTCAGACTATAAAGTCGAACTACACGGTTTCTGCGAAGCATTTGAAAATGCATATTTTGCCACCATCTATGTGCGCACACAAACCGACTCCGCGACCACAAGCTACTTATTAGTAGCAAAGGCAAAGGTGGCTCCTCTAAAAACAATAAGTCTACCACGACTTGAACTATGTGGCGCGCTATTATTAGCTAAACTAGTATCCATAGGGCAAACAAATTTAAACATGGCAAGATATATATCATATTTCTGGTCCGATTCCGAATTAGTATTAGCCTGGTTGGATAAATCCACCCTATGCATCGAAAATGTCATTTCCAATCGAATGTCTCAAATATTTGACTTAGTACGATCAGCAACTTAGCGACATGTAGCCAGTGCTGACAATCCGGCCAATCTACGTATAGGAGGGTGCAAGCTCCTGCACCTTGCCCCAGAAGTCGACAAATCGACACTTTTCACACAATACTGGATGATGCCGACATCCTTGAACGGTTTTCATCGATTCCCCGAGCCCTCAGAGTAGTTGCTTACATGATCAAATTTATAGAGGAACTCAAAACCAAAGTAAAGGGATTACCAAATTTCCCATGCGATACAGTGACGCACCAAGACTTACAAAAAGTAAAGGTTGGATATACTCAAGCGCGCTACTTCAGCCGTGGTATATCACTATTGAGATGTTCAAAACGTATTGATTAAAGGAGCCCCCTCTTAGTTCTAAATCCATTCCTAGACAAGAAAGGTCTTCTTCGTGTGAATTGTAGGCTTGTCAACTCAAGCCTAACGTATAACGAACGCCATCCCATAATTATACCAGAGAAGTGCCGACTTGCCACATTAGTCCTAAGTTATATCCACATTCTAATGTTCACGCCGCACATGGCTCATACAACAAATGGTCCGATAGTAATTTTATATTCCCCAGCTGTGTCTTTGTCTGTTTTACGACAGAAGCTGTGCACCTTAAGCTTTGTACTAATTTGACTTTCCTTGACTTTGCTCGCTTCGTGACGACGCTCGAAGATAATGAGCGACAGTGGTAAAACCCTTATCGGCGCTCAAAGAGCCACTGAAAAACAGTTTGGAGACTTTATCAAACCAGTCTTACCTGAAGTTGTACAAAAGTACGTGCCTCAAGGTATTAGTTGGCAATTTATCTCCCCAAGCGCTCCTCATATGGGTGGTTTATGGGAATCAGCTGTAAAAAGCTTCAAATCGTGGCACGATCACCCATATCGATTTATATGACAGATATGTATAATTAAACAACTCTTTTATACAGATTACCATGGACGTGGATACACCAATCACACCAACGTCAATTCGATCGGCTAGCAACATGCCACGCACCGGGCCCACCCTAACACCCCGAACGGTAGATGTAACTACCCCAGCAACAGCATCAGCATCCGCACCTAGTAGTGGCACGCGACAACCCCCGTCGTTATCATCGCTTCATCAGGATAAAGCTGACCCACTGTTGCGCATTAAAATTGGCTGGGTTAACTGAAGGGGCCACTTAAAGAAAACGCCAAGAGGTGCTACCGCTGCTTTGGGCCAGGGCACTTGACCTGGGACTGCAAGGCGCCCGACAGGAAAAGGCAAGGTACTTGTATAAAATGCGCAAACCAGGTCACAAATTAAAAGAGTGCACAAATCCCCTCATGCTGCCTCTGCGAAGAGGCCAAACACGAAAAAGTCGACAATATCCCGGGCTCCGCAAAATGTACGGTATATAGGAACTATCAGAATAAATATTGTACAGGCAAATATGCATAGATACAAGGCTGCTGACGCTTTACTCGCGCAAATGGTGATGGAGAACGGTTACGACTTAATCATCATAAGCGAGCAATATAAAAATAAATACGGTATTTAATACGGGAAATGCAACCACGTTTAGCAGATCGGGATGCAAGGAAACCACACCAGATGGCAGGCTCAATACAGAAATGGAGAGTCTTAGTACACTGGCAGCGATCATCAGTGCATATTTTTTACGGTGGACACCGAAAAAAACGGCAAACAGTACAGGAAAAATACCCGCAAATGGAACGTTTCAAAACTAAACACTTCGAAATTAATCTCCGCAATACTCGTAGACGACCATAACCCATCTAGCAGCTCCCCCAAAATTGCAAGAAAAGTTGTCGGGCACACAAAGCTTAATATAACAAGAGCCTGTCAAAAATCGATACTCAAGGCTTCCCACAGCAAACATAAAGAAGCAGTTTACTGGTGGACAGAAAATATCGTCCAACTCAGACGCACATGCCTTCGCCTTCGCAGATCGTATACGAAATCCAGGCGCAGAGGAACCGCATCCCGAGAAGCCGAGCAATATCAAGCGGCGAAGAAGGAGCCATCCATGATAGCAAAAAAAGAAAATGGGAGAAACTACGTAATGATGTTAACAAAAACCCCTGGGGACTTGGGTGGCTACAAAATTGTAAGGAAGAAACTCGGAGTTTAGCAAAGCCCCCTGACTTAACCGCTGCCAAAATTGATCACATCGTAAGCGCACTCTTCACACTCACGAAAAAAGGGTTAGTGATCAAGAACAGACTACAAGACGAATCCCCCAGTTCCCCCTGGAAGAGCTGCAACCGGCCACTGGCAAATTCAAGACTAATAAATCACCCGGCCTGGACGGGATCCCGGCTGAAATCCTTAAAAAATCAATGCAGAGCGACCGGCAGTACTTCTGAATATGTACAATGCCTGCCTCGAAGCCGAAATATTCTCTGAACCTTGAAAAAAACAACGGTTGGTGCTAATCAGTAAGGGAAAAGGTGATCCCAACTTACCATCAGCATACTGCCCAAATCTCTGATCCGTATAATAGGACGCTGATGGTCGTGGACATTAGGAGCTTTCTCTTTTCTTGGCTAGGCCCCCCTATGTTGGCCATTCTTCTATTTTGTGAGTGTTGTCCAATTCTTCTCATCTGTAATACCAACGTGTTCAAAGTACCTAGGATCAGGTGTACCAAGTTTCATTAATGTTTGTTAAAGTTATCGCAGATAGACAAATGGACATACAGACCTCCAAAATTCAATTCGTATCGTCATTATAGTCATTTTGATATGTATAACTCTATCTATAGCTTGACTAGTTTTAGATGATACAAACAATTGTTATTTGAACAAAATTTGTGAGATTATAAAAATAGGACGAGCTTTAATAACATCTTGGATAGTAATCCAAATGGTAAAATGCTATAGGCTGCCAAACATAAAAAAATCAATTTTACAATTTTGTAAAAACAGTAAATGCAGAAGTTTGTGGCATTGGAATAGCTGAAGTACTAAACGATAACAGTTTTATTTTTTTTTTTTTTAGAAAAGTACCATATGCTGACATGTTGTGAACTGCTATTTATTTCTTTATAATTGTAGAGTTTTTTATATTCACGTGCAAAAAGGAAATTTTTTATTGGTAGGGATGAGTAATTTCTTTAAAATATCTGTCAGACAAATGCATACGATGTACATTCAGCGAAAGTAGAAAAATTATTCGATAACCAAAGCGCGTTTTTTCCTGTAACAATCAAACGTTTGTATTTGAATACAAAAAAGTTTAACTTACCTGAAATTTATGATATACTCTAGAAATCTCTATGCGTCTACCGATCTGATCTATTAATGTAAATACTGGATTCCATACAATATGATTGCGCTCACATTTAAGAAAAAGTGTTACATCGAGAGCAATACTGAAGCTCAACTCACCAGCATATGCTAAGTTCCATGCATCATTAATCAATTTTGCACTGAAAATATAAAATAAATTTCGAATTATTAGGAATTTCAGCATCAAGTATGAAATTAAATAAGTACTTAAGGTAAGTTTTTAAGTAAAAGTATACCAAACTATTCTTTAAAGGCAAAAAAAAAATATTTACTTTAGAGAAACTAACCAACAAAGTCATTTAGATAGCAATAGATGAGTTTTAATCTTTACGTTTACTTACAAGTACACTGCTTTCAATTTAAGTTTTATAAAAGCTTCTTGACACAAGTAGAGAAGTGCTAAGTTCGATGTAACCGCACCGTAACAGCAAAGACTTTATCTTAAAAATTGTAGCGTAAGAATTCAATATTCATTATTCGACGAAATCGTGAATAAATATCATATTAGGCATCTTACGAACATATGTGTATTATAGGTCGTAGACCAATTTAGTTTCATTACTATTTTTTCTTCGCGGCCGAAATGTTTATACTAAAATCGACGTAATTACAACAAATTCGATGTATGGGATATATGTAAACTCAATCGAATGGGCTCAATTGAATCAAATGGGTTTATTAGAGGAAAACGGAAGGTCGGAAAACATCGTAACGGGTATGTTAGGGCTAGAGAAAGGTCTAGACGGATTGCTTTAACAAGTATACTCGAGAAAATATGTTGGGTATAATAGGGCTAACACAAGGGCACATTTTTATTGCGAAAAACATAATCCCATTTTTATTTAAATTCTAAAGTGCAGTTGCCTCCATACTTCTATGCCCTGCCCTAAATGGCAGTTTCGTATCTTAATTTTTGGCTTAGTTGTAGCATTTAATAGTTTTTCGCTTAATGGCATTTTGTGACTGTGGCAGTAGTCCAATATAGCTCATCTATAATACAAATGAAGTAAATAAAACTAGTTTTAGAGAAATTGGAAAATTATTAAAAAAACAAAAAATATTTCGTTTCCCAAAATGTAGGTATGGTTTATTGGGAATAATGTTATAATTATAGAAAATGCATGGTTTTGATATATCTGACATTTATTCAATACTTGCTATAATCTCCCGCGTTGTCTAATATAGCCCTATCTTTGCAACTTGCAACTAAATTTTCCGCATATTCCACAGGAAGAGACTACCAGGTTTGTTGGAGTAGCTGAATGAAGTTTTATGTTGAATGTTTTGTTTTTTTTGATATTTTGGCTTTTATTAAAACCCAAACATTCTCTATTGAATTGGCTAGTAGCGACTGCGATGGACAATCTAAAGTAACAATATGGTTTTCTTGTTTCCATTGAGTACAGAGTCTGCTCCTATGTCTCGGATCATTGTCTTCTTGCAGATTGCAATCATGATTATTTTTGCTATAAGGCATTTCAGCTGACTTCAGTAAACCATTTTTGCACGGATTATTGTTTTGCGTACAAACTGACCTAGCAAACTCAAGCTCTTGTAAGGAAACTTTTTTATTTGTAAAGGGTATTATAGCTTCTGTGCAACCGTGGTTAACGTTTTTTCTTATTTTTACTAGATATTATCTGCTATAATTTTCCTCTATGAACGAAAACAGTCGGTGATAGGTTGGTATGTATTTTGTTCTTTTACCATGTAAAAAATTAAAGGTTTTTACAAGGTGTAATGGATCAATTATTGAGCAACATTGTCATCGAGAAAAGAAAACGTTTTTAGTTTTTGGAATACTTATGTATGTAGCTATATTTTGAGCAATATGTATTGCGAATATTTGTTGCCAATAATGCTTAATTTGTTACTCTAAATAAATTGAATAGCAGTAGACAAAATAGGATTTTGATTTCCAGAAGTTCATATATTTTTTTATATGGCCCTCAAACAAACAATAAATCTCTCCTAATCATACTTGGACTAAGGCTTACCACCAGTAACTTTTTGTGGATGCAATGAAGGCTGAAGCGTCGAAATAAAAGAATATCACATCACACTTGAATCGCTTAAAAAGCGATAAAAGCTCATTTACCAGTTCCGAAAAGAAACCACAGGAAACTTCAAGCCTAAGTGCTCAAATCGTGCGCAAATCGCTGCTCTACCGTTGAAAGTAGTGCATCAACTAAGTACTATGCGCTTCTACATAACTGTAATGTTGCAAAGGTTGAAAAAATTCAAAACTTAAGCGTTACAGAAAATGGGGTAAAAATCGTCTATTTTGTTTAAATGTGCCAGGGAAAACGTGTACCAAGTTTCATCATTACAAGTCTTTTTCGTTTGGAGCGACAGACACATGGGAGGACAGACGGAACTTAGATATCATATCTGTGTTCCTTTCTTCCCTTATTAAATTCACGTGTTTGATTAATTATTATTGCCGAAAAATGATTTTTTGATAATTCTGCCGATTAGCACATCTTGATCCACAAAATCGGATAATAAAGGCAAAAGTTCCTATGTATTTATGTATTCATCTCTTATATATAAAAATCAATGCTACTTTTCGTTGTAACTTTTAAACTCAAGAACGGGCTCACATATCCAAACCAAATGATTGGGCTATGTTTGGACTATTTAGTGGATGGTTTAGGTGAACTTTGCACAAAATCGGTCGAACGGTTCTTCATTTATAATATCACATTTTTGGAATTCAATAAATTGCGGATCATTTTGTTAATGCTGTCAAATTAAAACTTTTGATAGTACGTTGTACATGTCATTCATGCGGTCATTTCATTTTGGACGTGCTTCGATTAAAGTAAATTGTCAGCGATAATTATTGCTTTGTGTTAAATTATTATTAAATAATATTTTTAAACATATTGTTGAGTGCATTATTACAAACGATAAGTCTAAAATTGTTCAAATGCGTCTAGTTTTCTCACTTTTATGAACGAATATGCACAAGACGCAATCAAGATACGGTCGACCGGATCTGTTCATTACATTTACATGTAATCAAAAACAATTTATTTGAAGGACAGTCGACAACTGATCGTCATGACATTACAGCATGTGTTTTTTGGCAAAAATGTATACAATTATGGATTTAATTGTAAAATTGTGTGTATTTGGAGAGGTGCGTTGTCATATGTACTCCATCGAATGGCAAGAAAGAGGATTGCCGCACGTACATATATTAATTTGGCTGGTGCATAAAATAACTCCGGATCAACTCGATAACGTTATATCAGCAACTCGATAACGTTATATCCTGATCAAACTGCTAATCCTGAGTTATTTCACGTTGTCGTTAAAAACATGGGCCGTGCGGTGAACCAAATATGAATTCGCCATGTATGATTGATGGAAAGTGTTGATTTTTGAGTTTTTTCAACACTTCATGATGCATCATCTTTAGCTCATCCTTTGTAATTATATTATCAACAGGTATGCCATAAAATCCACTTGAATTATGGAACAAATATAAACATTATATGGCAGAAGAAATTTTAATTCGTATGCGTCATCATGCAAGAAATACTGATTTGTTGATTACCTTGGAATGGTACAATGAAGGTTTGATAATTATTGAAGATATGTGTTTAACGATTGCAAATAAAGAATAAGTACAATTACGTATGACCGCACAAAATCGTGAGATGCATGATTTGTATACCACAATCATGCAAGCGTACCGAAGAACAATTATATCAATGTCATTAGCTTTCAAATTCAAGCGAAACTGCCAGGTGTAGTCACGACATATAAATCAATTGACAGTTTTATGAATCAAGATGAGGCAATGAATTATCCGATTGAGTTTTTAAATTCATTGAAACCGACCGGTATGCCACCGCATTGCTTGAATCTGAAAGTTGGTTCTTTGATTATATTATTGTGAAATATTAATCCACCAAAACTGTGTTATGGCACCAGAATGGCAGTGAAAAATGTATTGCCAAATTTAATTGAAGCTTCGATCTTAACTGCTAAATCAAAAGGAGAACTTTCATTGATACCGCGGATCCCTATGATTCCAACTGATATGCCATTTGAGTTCAAACGATTACAATATCCTATGCGTTTATTATTATATTTGCGATGTCCATCAACAAGGATCAAGGGCAAACACTTGACGTTTGTGGTGTGAATTTGGAGGAATCATGTTTTTCACATGGTCAACTTTATGTTGCCTGTTCCAGAGTCGGTACCCTCAGCCGTTTGTTTATTCATGCTAAAAGTGTAAAAACAAAAATTATTATTGTTTATCCAAATGTTTTGGATTAAATTTTAAAATAGCTAGCAATTAATACAATATTATTTTGTTTTAATAAATGAATTTGATATTCCAATTAAATTCTTTTATTATTTCACTGCACACGTAGCGAGGCAGGACGGGCCGCTTGTTAAGTATATACAATAATATAACTATCGTGTTCTGCATTAAAAAAAGCTACGATTTGTTCAAGCTTTATCTACCATTTTGGTCGCAGGTTTAAGTACATATATTTGTTAGTACGAGTAGGTGGCTAAAACTGACGAAAAATTCATTGAAAATTCTATTCCTTTTTACCTCCACGGTACTGCCGAGAATTTGTGTCATCTCAAAACAAACATAGATAAATAAACACATACAATATATACATTAACATACAATAATATATTTAACTAATGTAGACCACAAACCTTATTTGTAAATGTTTACTCTTAACAAGGTTGGTTGGTTAAGCAAAAGAATGTCGAAAGTTTTTCTAAACTTTAAAAATTATACACTTCACATAATACGTATTAGCAAGAGATAATGCGCAGTGTTCAACAAACTGTGAAAAAAACAGAGAATTCTTGTGGAGAAATGTCAACATGGAAATCAACAGAAGAAAAATTCTTGAAATTATTCGAAAAAGTGTTGGTCACGTCCAAAGCTATGTGAGGAAATTCAATGGATAATAAAGAGTTAAAGATAACATCAAATCTCTTGATGTCCGACAATCCGATCGAAAATGCATTTTCAAGAGGCAAATTGAACAATTATGAATGATTTAGTATCTAAACAGCCAGTACAAATACAAGAACGACCTACATATCTGAATATTATTATGAAGTTGAAAACATGTATAAAGAAATAACTGCTGAATATTTCCAGAGCTTCCAAAATTTTAAAGAAGTTTAAAAAAGAAGTTCCCAAAACTACCCATTGCCATAATTGGGAATTACAAAAATCAAAAATTAAAATATTCTATGGCGAGATAAGGGAATATTTTGTATTGTATGATTGTAATAAACAGTTATCAAGCGCAGATGTTTTGCTACATCATCGTATTTGCTTGAATGGAGAAGCGGTGCGATTAACAAATAAAGGAATTTGTTCACCACACACTCGGATAGAATTTTGCATCAAACACCATAAATACTGCCAATACTGAAAGCGTTAGGAGATTACTGGATACCACAAAAGGGTCTTAACGCAAAAGAGTCACTAGGCACACAAACCTGAAAAGTTGATCAGTTCATTGCTGTAGTCGTTGTTCGCAAATTGGACAAAGAGCGCTTTAAATTGTATGAGCAAATTGGACAAAGAGTGCTTTAAATTGTTTGAGCAAACAATAGAAGACGCTAGAGAAATTCACAAATTATCGGATTTTAAAGATTTGCTTGATCAATATTTAGAAATGTTGGATGATCAAAAGTCATAAAGCACAAGAGCTAGTGTGTGTGTACCTGTTGCAAAATTTCCGGTCATACATTAATCACATGCAGAAAATATATATATAAAGCATACCAACTGATAATAGGCGTAAATATGCAAGTGACAACAAGGTCTGCTACAAGTGCCTGAATAACTAATGGGGAATATCTTGTAGCAGCAATGTAAAGTACAAGAAAGAACAAGTCACAAAAACCACTTCACAAGCAGGTATTTTAGCAATAACTCAAATAAGAGCAAAATCAAAATATAGGGAATATATTTTGCTATTGTCTCTCATAGCAAATCACAAAAACATCGGAAGAAGCAGCACAGATATAACACTTGACAAGGAATAAACTTTATGGTCAAGGCGATGCCGTAATAGGTGAAGGAGATCGAAAGTTCTTTTGAAATATAGTCAATATACGGAAAACGTAAATGCCGTAGTTCCACCAGTTTTCACCAGGGCACTGCCTGATCAATGATTTCAAAATATGGAAGAAACTAAGCAGGATGCCGATGGAAAATTCATTTAAAGAAGGCAATGGATGAAAACAATTAAATTGAGTGAGCGTGTTTTTCTGCAAATGGTGCAACATATAACAAATATCAGGATTTTGAAACATCCGGTTGACTTTACTCCTTATATATTATTGATGGTTTGTGAGGTACCTTAATTTAACTTTTTTCTGTTAATAATATGTAGTAATGTCAAAAATAGATAAAATCGGGTTAATATGTTACTACCCCTATCTCCCACATACCTAATAAAAGATTTCCAAACTTCTGATTGGCTTTACACCGTATATATCGGTCAAAATGTAACATATAACAAAATTTGCTGAACGGATAATATTGGACATACTACAAGTATAGTTTAATGCAGAAAATATGTGATATTGGTCTACAAATTAAACAAACCCTCATATACTACATATAATGATTTTTGTTATTCCAACAAACTCTATGCTGAATATTTCGGTCAGTGTATGAGTTATATATTTATAAAATTAATTGCAAGAGTATGAAATGTTCGGTTAGCCCTTCCTTAATATTATAATTAAAGATGCTTACATTTTCACTAAATATGGCGGAAAAAGGTTAACAGAAGCAGTAGCAAGGAGGCACGTAATTGTTGCATACGATACAAGCAAATAACAGCAACAGAAATTATGGCCGACTTATCGGAATTCACAGTGTCATCATCGAATCCTTTCACTAACACCGGAATTGGTTATGAGGGACCTTGAATGAAATTCAGTTTTTGCAATAGACGTGGCCAAAAAAATGTAAGCTTTAAAAGCTTATGTAGCAGTGTTTGTGTATCTCTCAACCATGCATTTAAAAGCCGTTAGTGACTTATCAACACAAAACTTTTCTGGTAGAATTAAGAGGGATATTGGGAACAAAAGCAAATGTTTTCACTCTGACAATGGATTTTTGATTCTAGCGCACGTGTTTTTTCTTCTTATTACAAGAAAATTGCATATCACAGAATATTAATCAAAAATTTTAATCAAAAGCGCAGAAGAAGCGAAAATGGGCTCTTTTCAATTAATTTCGGCCGAGGCTTTGCGAAGAATTGCAAAACTGAAGAGGGACGCTGAAAATCAGAAACGGCGCATTCGCAGGTGCGTTAATCGAGTCTCCACTCAGGCAGCCATTTTACTGCGCATCAATCAAATCGAAAATCGCAGCGTAAAGGTCATGGCCGTATGTCTAAAGGGCGTTCGTGGTTACCCTGTTGTTCGGGTACTACCCATTATTCACGCTCGAGAAGTACCTAAAACTTACCTCAAACAATGAGGTATTGCAGGCTATATTTGGATATGAAATTCCATTTTGCTCTCAAGTGTACCAATACTAAGTGTCGGAGCGTCCTGAATTTAATGATAAGGAGATCACTGAATGTGTAGCAAAAATTAAGCATAATTTTAGGAAGGGCGCAATTAGCCCGAATGAGCATCAATTTGTGTCCCCGTATTTTTTAATTGAAAAACCAAACGGAGGAAAACGATTTATTTTTAATTTAAAAATGTTAAATAAATAAATTGTTGCACATCACTTAAGGATTGGAACACGGTAACACAAATACTGTTGACAGGCGCCATTTGACCTCGATTGACTTTGAGCACGTATATTTTCTGATATCAGAAATTTATTTATCCTTCCGGAAATTTATTTTTTCCACGTATGGCAATTGTACGAATTCAATTACCTTCCTCATCCTGCATGGAAGTCGCTAACCTTAGTTGCAGGCAAATTATCAGGGAAGCGTTAACAAGAAACAGGCACCCGAAGGATCTTTGCAATACAAACTAGCGTAACTATCTGAAAGCACATTAAAGCTGTATAGTTAGCCTGGTGTGAGTTTTGTTAGAAAAAGGCACTTTCACCCTTTGAACCTACGATTAAAAGGTTTTGCAAGTAATATTTTAGATTTCCTGACAAGTATGAGATCCAACAATGATTTAAAACTTGATCATCTTTCTAAGAAGCTTGCTATTCTGTTAGCACTAGTAACGGAGGAAGGGTTCAAACCATATCCAAAATAAAAATTTTAAATATTACTTTTAATACTAACTCAACCGAATTTGATTATTTACACTTTTACTGAAAACGATAAAATTTTGTCCAGTGACAACTTTACAAGCATATCTTCGCAAACAATTAGTAGATGCATAAAGCTAGTTATGCGAGAGAGTGGCCTGGACGTAAATATTTTTACAGCGCACATCACACGACATGCAGCTTCTTCAACGGCACTCCGATGTTGAATACATTAACGATTGGCATTACTCAGGTATATTTGGGAACATATTTTCACGGAATTTTGTGAAGAAATTTCACACACTGACCAACACATTGGGCATAAAGTCTGCTGGTCTTATGTAAGGTATATGTAGACTAGAAGATATATTAACCCGATTTAATCCAGTTTCAGTATTACGACACATCATTACCAGAAATAGACGCTCTCCGAATTTCATTAAGGTTCCTTAAATATAGACCAATATTTAAGTTATAAAATCAACCGGATATTTGAAAATCCTTATATTAGGTATAGGGCACTAGGGGAAATATTGAACCAATTTCACCGCCTCAACCCTCCACGAGGGTGCCGACTGGAAATAGATACCACAGGTTCACGTCGTTAGTAGTGAGGTGTCTAGCTAAGGTCAGGCTTCCTATCTGGGTGTTCGGTACTCTTCGATAGTGCAGCATCCAGATAGGAGGTCTTACCATGGTAGGAGGTAAAGGGCTGGATCAAGGTGTCATGCGACCCGTGCCGAAGATCAACCTGGCTGGGGGCCCTTAAATAGCCCAGTCTCGCACGGAGCTTACGGATACCTGGCGCCCTCCGTAATAAGGTAGCCTTACTTGCGTAGCGGGGGCTATGCGCAAGCGGACATACTTTACCCTACACTCGTGGGTCCAAAATATGAGCCAAAACAATAACATTATAAATAAAAACAAAAAGGAGTCCGGACCTCCTTCAAAAAGACCGGAGGGAGCGGGTTGCTCCCAGAGAAGAGCAGCGTTTGGCACGAGCTCGACAACAGCCAAAGCGAGGACAGGAGCGAAGCTTGGTCCTGGAGCAAAGGCGAATACTAAGGGGGCAGTAGCCAAGGCTGGCGCCACAAAAACAGCAACGCTGGAGGCAGCCCATACCAACCCCTGTAGCCAAGGCTTGGCAGCTAAGCAGGAGAAGGTGGGAGATGCTAAAAGCGAAGCTGCCAGTACTGGGTCAGCCAGAGAGTGGCCTTCCTTCAGGATTTATGACCCGGCAAAAGCAAAGTATGCAGAGAGGCATACCTGTTGAAGAAGGTGGAGCTGCAACCGCCAAACAATGAGGAGCTCACAAAGGAGCTCCGAGAATCCATTGATTGCGCGAGAGCTGTCCTACCTAACTTCAAACTAGAAGTGCCGGTAGTGGCAACAAAAAGACAAAGGTCCGCTGAAGAGGCTAAGCCGTCAGCTAAGAGACCGAAAACTAAGGGCGTGACGCCCGTAAGATCTTTTGCTGATGTGGCCCGAAACGGCATTGTCATTGGTGTACTGGATGAGGGTGATCCCGAAGGAAAAATCCCCAGAGCCCAATGGAAATGGGTGCAAGCCGCACTGACGAATGTGGCTTTGGAAGTGCTACTTAGCAATCCAGGTCCACCCCCGTCATGTGCGGATGCCGGATGGTATCAAGGGCAAATAAAGATGATAGCGTGTGACGACGAGAGATTGGTCCAGCTATATAAAGCAGCAATAGCTAAGGTGGGAGAGGTCTACCCCGGAGCCAAATTGGTGGCGGTAGACAGGAAAGATATCCCATCCCGACCGAGAGCAAGGGTATGGATCTCGCCTACACCATCGCAGCCGGACCAAATAATGCAGCTCATAAGAGCCTGCAACCCAAATCTGCCAACGGAGGGATGGAGATTCGTCAAGGCCTTTGACGACCCCGCAGCAGAATCTGGAGTGGAGACGAAGCGAGCCACAATGCAGATTCTGCTACTTCTAACAAAAGAATCCGTAAAACCGCTAGCGAAAAGTGGCGGAGAGATCAACTACGGACTCACAAAAGTAAAGGCGATGCAGGAGAAAACTTGGCATCGGAATCGGAGTGCGAAGTCGAGGAAGATCCAGTGGAGTCCTCGAGCGACGCAGAGATCACGGATCAAGGTGAGTGTACTTCGGGGTCTGAACTTGCGGACAGACTCTCTAAACTCTACACTGAGAGTGAGCTTTTAAGCGACTCTCATGATGATGCAGAGAAGACCATAACTAATGCGTCTTCTCCAAATTAATTTACACCACAGCAAACTAGCGTCTCTAGCCCTAGTTAACCGCATGGCAGAAGAACGGCCTGACTTTGTCCTCATTCAGGAGCCATGGGTTAACGGAGGGCGTATATGCGGTCTGAGGACACCAGGTTACAATCTATACGCGAATGGTTGTGTAGGTAAGCCTAGGACATGTATATTGGCTAACAAAAAGCTTAATGTCTTTTTATTACACAATTACAGTAGTAACGACACTACAGTGGTAAGCTGGGAGACGAGCAAGAGGAAATACCGGCTCGCATCATGCTACATGCCGTACGACGAGGTAGCAGTAGCATCGCAGCTGTTCAAGGAGCTGGTACGAGACGCCGAAGCATCCAAGTGTTCGATCATACTTGGATGCGACTCCAATGCGCACCATAATCTATGGGGAAGCACGGACATTAATGAAAGGGGTGAGTTGCTCTTTAATTATCTAATAGGAAGTAAGCTTCTGTTATGTAACAAAGGTAGTACGCCAACATTTATAACCAGAAACCGACAGGAAGTATTAGATATAACACTGGTATCGGAAGAACGGGTGGATAAAATAACACATTGGAGGGTATTGGAAGAACACTCCTTCTCAGACCACCGCTACATTGAGTGTATAATTGAAGAAAATTTAGTTAGGGAAGAGAAATTTAGGAATCATAGGAAAACGAACTGGCAGATGCACATGCAGGAGCTAAAAAAGCGTATTCCTATGATTCCACCATTCCAACCGGAAAAGAAAGAGGACCTAGACATCCTCGTTAATCGATTCACAGAGTCTTGTCGTCAAGCACTAGAGGTAGCTTGTCCATTAACGCACAGTAGGGGAAGAATTAGACCTCCTTGGTGGACCCCAATACTTAAGAACATGCAGAAGAATTGCAGGAGGCAATTCAATTCTGCCAAACTATCCCAAGAAGATATAGAGTGGGATAACTATCACAACCACCTTCGGGCATACAAAAAGGAGGTAAGAAAAGTAAAAAGAATTTCGTGGAAATCTTTTTGTGGCGACATCGAAGATACAGCAGAAGTGTCCCGACTGAGAAAGATAATGACACAGTCGAAACATAGCATCGGATACCTTCAGAAGCCAGATCACAGCTGGACGGAATCCAGTAAAGAGACTCTGGGCCTACTAATGGACACTCACTTCCCAGACAGTTCCGAGAACCTCACAGGGGGGCATATAATGGGGAGTGAAGTAAGCTCAGAGACCCCTCCGCTAGACATAGTGTCAGATGACAATGTTTATTGGGCAATAGGCAGCTTCAAGCCTTATAAAACGCCGGGACCAGACGGTCTATTCCCGGCCCAGTTACAGCAATCCCTGAGCTACACAATAAACTGGATAACAACCATGTTTAGAGGGGCGCTGAAATTGAACTATATTCCCTCGACATGGAGGGAAGTTAAGGTGATATATATCCCAAAGGCGGGCAAAAGCTCACATATTAATCCAAAGGATTTTAGACCAATTAGTCTTTCATCATTTCTTTTAAAAACGCTGGAAAGACTAATAGAAATACATATAAAGGACATACTAAACCCAAGAAAAATGGCAGTTTCGCAGCATGCGCACTCGAAGGGTAGATCCACAGAAACGGCATTAAGCTCAGTGGTAGCAGAGATTGAAAAATCTCTGGAAATAAAAGAATACACCCTCGTAGCCTTCCTAGACATAGAAGGTGCCTTTAACAACATCCAGCCGAAGGCCATATTGAGCGCGCTTAAAGATCTGGGCATATCTGAGCCTCTCCGGAAATTAATTGAACAGATGCTCTTGGGCAGGTCAATTATTTCAACGCTGGGAGCTTCAACGATGTACAGATCTGTCCGAAGGGGTACACCCCAAGGAGGCGTGTTATCCCCACTTCTCTGGGTCCTGACAATGAATAAAATGCTTGTGGACCTAGAAAAGAAGGGAGTACATGTTGTGGCCTACCCTGATGATGTGGCAGTCTCGGTTAGGGGCAAGTTCCCGAACACCCTCGCTAGTCTCATGCAGATAATACTAAACGAGATTAATCGATGGGCCGTATCATGCGGACTGAATTTAAATGCTAGCAAGATAGAACTAGTATTGTTTACTAAGAAACACAGTACTCCCGAAATCACGCCGCCATTTTTAAATGGCACCAGGCTAACGATAGGGGCTAAAGCAAGCTACTTGGGACTAATTTTGGACAGGAAGCTTTTTTGGAAACAAAACCTGGAAGCGAGGGTAAAGAAAGCTGCTACAGCGCTTTACACATGTAAAAGAATGGTGGGGCCCAGGTGGGGACTGACACCTCGGGTGGCTCACTGGCTGTACACAGCAATTGTAAGACCGATCATGACCTACGGGATATTAGTATGGTGGCCAATTACAGAAAAGAAATATGCGATTAGAAGCATGGAAAGTATACAAAGAGCAGCTAGTATTTGCATCAGTGGAGCTCTCAGAACTACGCCAAGCCAGGCACTCAACATAATTTTACACTTGCTGCCAACAGACTTATATTGCAAGCAAATGGCAGCGAAGTCAGCTCTAAGACTGAGGGAAGCCTCCCTATTAGTCGCCTGTAACAAGGGACATTCTAGGATACTTAGGAAGTTCCCGGTTCTTTCCATAACTACAGATTTTCGCAATCCGGTGGAGCTGAACCTAAATCCGGTCCTCAATATTACCTTTCCCTCCAGAGAGGAGTGGGAACGGGATGTAGTGGACAAGGAAGAAGGGATTAGCTTCTATACGGATGGTTCCAAACTGGATAACCGAGTAGGCGGCGGTGTCTTCTCGGCTAAATTAGATACCAAAATCGCCTTCCGGTTACCAGACCACTGTAGTGTCTTCCAAGCAGAGGTCACTGCAATTAAAGAAAGCCTTCTTGTACTAACAAAAAGCGTAATCACAACAAGAAGTGTATTTATATATACAGACAGCCAAGCGGCTTTGAAATCTTTGATGTCTCATAGGATTTCGTCGAAGACAGTGAAGGATTGCCATGATCTTCTAGCGGATCTGTCATCCTATTTCACTGTAAATCTGCAATGGGTTCCAGGACACAGTGACATCCCTGGTAACTGCGTAGCAGATGAACTAGCCAGAGCAGGCACCACCCTACAACTAGATCCTGGTAAGGTGGACATAAATATGCCTCTGGCTACGTGTAGATACCTAATCGACAAACATGTCATTAATATAGCCGAGTGTCAGTGGAATCAATCCCTGACCTGCTCAACCAGCAGGCAAACGTGGCAAGAATGGAATATGAGCCGCACATGCCGACTGTTAAAATTCAAGAGGAATGATATAAGAACTCTCGTAGGAGTACTAACAGGCCACTGTCTAATAGGCAGACATGCAAGTAGACTTGGCGCGCCATATAACGACTATTGTAGAAGCTGTCAGGAAGTAGAAGAGGAGGAGACCATTAAACATCTTCTATGCGATTGCGCAGCACTATATAGGAAAAGAATCGCAACCATGGGTCGTGGGTTTCTTGACGACGTCTCGGAGGTTGCACAGATAAAACTTGTCACACTGATGAAGTTCATCACAAGTACGGGGTGGTTCAGAGAGGAGCCAGTAGAGTGAGGGGATCACAGTCCCAGTGGTATCACAATGGGCCTCCTAAAGGCCTAAGTGTGTCGAATGACAGCCACTTTACCTATCTACCTACCTAAGGGCACACTACTATCAGGAAAAGATTATCTCAAATTACAAAACTAGACCTCACATCGGTTGACCGATATTTTCGATTAAAAGACAGCACTGGGGTCCACATATGGGGTTTTGAAAAGTTATGATTCGATTAAACAGATTTTAGACTTGTGATGAAATACCTCAAATGCACTATTTGTGAAAAGTTTTATTTCATCACTTACTCTCTATTTATAAACTGTAAAATGAAAAAATCGGATTGAAAATAAAATTGTTATATGTCGGAAGTAGGCTTTGCTACAGACGATACCAATGCACTAAATTTGGTAAAAACTTGTCTGTGTTCCTTGAGATATAGGACTTCACCTAAAGTAGGGCGATCCCACGCCCAAAATTTTGTTGTTTAAAAAATAATCGTTATATAGGGAGAGCGCGGGGTTACCAATCGATTTTACCCATTTTCACATTGTTGGAGGAGATGTTCAAAATATTTGTCCTCAGTGAGACAAGCAGTGGCAGGACCACGCCCACCTTTTCAAATTTTTTTAAGCACATTTCCCTTTTTCTTATGCAATTCGTTGTACCAAATTAAGTTTGTGTCTTAATGTGGAGCTTAGTTATGGCACCTTATAAGTTTTCGAGTACTGCCTTTTGCAGGCGGGGTAATGATCCAATTACGCCCATCTGCAATACCAACTTCCCTTGGATGTCAAGGAACATTTATAGCAAGTGTTTTGGTACATTTTTCCTGACAGATTGAAAAGGTCGTGTCGTCTTAAACACATTTGGCAAAATTTTATCAATGCTTGTCGATACATCGATCCGATCGTCTTTTCGATACTATTGTAGTTATACGTTTGCGTGGTACAAAGCTTTGTTTCGATTGCAACACATGCAAGCACAAACAAATGACTTGCAATCCTTTTCTATCATGCACTGAGTAATGTTTTTATCAGAAACGTCCGTGGATAAATAAAATTAAGCACGAATTCGTTGATGTACAAGAGTTGGTGATTCGGCCATATATTATTTACACTCATTAAAAGTTTTGTCTACTTCATCTGTTTCGACAATACGAAGTTTACAGTTGGGTTTATTTTCTGTTATAAGCTTTTGTAAAAGTTTTGTATGTAGCACAATTTTAAATCCATCAGATTCCTTCACTATTGAATAGAATAAGCTTGGTATCTATGCTATAAAAGCAACTTTGACAAATAGTGGTTTATGGTGTGGCACCTCTCATGTAGTTTTTAAACTTTAGGTTGATTTTATACCGTATATATGGGTCAATGTGTAAGCAATATTACAAACTTTTTTCGAAAGATTTCCACCTCTTCGGTTGACAGTCCCGTCATATTCCCAATATACAACATTTCGCTTCTTTAGTTGAGTATCCTATATCTCAATAGAAGATGCCTCAAATAAAATACAAATATTTCGATTAGTTTACCTTCCCTCAGCTCGAAATATCTGGGACATGAAACAAAATATAGTAATGAAACTAAATGATTTAACTAATCTTTAATATAAATTGATATGACATTAAATACGATTTATAAGCTTGAAAAACTACTAATATTGCATTTACATTTAAAAATTCTCAATATAAAGCTTTGTCAACACTGAAAATATAATATTTTTCCTCCTTTAGGTCCTGCAAATTGCCCGAATATAAAATGTTTTGTCCTTTTCTTACTTATTAAATATTACGTTTTGACAAGATCTTAAAATATATATTTTCTTTAACCCTTAAATTGGTGGGTATAAAATGTTCTGTTACATACAAAGGAAATCCAAGTTTACGGCAGAAATTTTTGAGAAATCGGTAATTTGATGTAATTAAAATTCTACAAATATACAGATATTTGTTATTTAAAGCGACTTTACCGTGTTAACGCTGGTATGTTTTCCAGATTTTTTTTGTTTTTTAAATAATTAGAAATCATTTTCCAATTATGTTGATCGTAATTTACCATAAATGGTGCTATCTCTTCAGGATTCATTATGACGAAGGAATTACGATTTGACAGGTTCGTTAGTTTTCCTTCCATTGTATTTTCCATCCAAAGATATGGTGTAGTGTTTAAGAAGTCTAATCTGTTTTGTTCAACTAAAACTATGGGAATCCACCAAATTTTGTTTTCTTGATCTTGGACATCATGCGGACGTTCGCGTAGAAACATTTTTTGGTAAATTTTGGCTGTGTTTGATGTATAATTGCGTTGTAATGAAACCACTGGCAAGCGATCGGTAGAAATCCAGGAATCAGCTATTTCAGAAATGTTGTATAAAGGATTTAGGTTGCCTTCTTCGGTAGTCCGATTATTAATAGCTTCCCAAATGATATTCGCAGAAAATATATTGTTTGGTTGACAGCTAATCATTTTTCGAATTCCAAATTTTAATGTGCTTTTACTTAGTGTGTAATTAAGCATTCGAAGTACTAGCTCTGCCTTGAAAGACGCAGATTCCTGCTTCATTACGGTAATACGCGAATATGGGTAACGTTTACTTAGCTCATAATATAAGGAGTATAGCATTGTCATTGGGTATCCTCCTTCAAAATCATATCCAGGATAAATCTATAAAGATTGTAACAATAATTTAAGTAAAATCAGTTGGGGTTTATTTATAAGTTCATATTAAAATAATAAACCAGCTCAAATATAAAAAAGTTTCAATATTACAGGTAAATCTATCAAAGTTTGGCTGACATCACCGGTATTCCTTCTTTTGCGAGCGTATAAATATGGAAGTGGATAAAATCAAAATAAAAAAGTTTAATACTAATAATTTCTTCATTTTCTTCGAAAATCATCAATCAACAATCATCATTCCAATATAAAGGAAATTATATGATACTCTTGTCTCTCATAAGTACATTTTTTTCCAAAATATCTGAATTAAATCCAAATTTAGTATAAATTATTAAAACAATAATAAGGAAGCTTATCAACGGCATCAAGTGATTGCGGCATAAAGGCTGCTGTCCGTTGGAAGCGAAACAGCGGGCTGGCGTAATCGACCGGAGTAACCCCCTGGAGTATATTACTCAAGAGCGGTAGAGCTGAAGCTGCTATATGCACTCTTCCCAAGAATGGAAGAAGACCCGGGCACACCTATACAAACTTTCAATGTTGCGGGGTTAATGGAGTAAAAACCCTACAATATAAAGACGAATTCTCACAACAAAACTGGCGGATGCACTGCAGTTCCACAAATGAAAAGACCTTCATATACCAACGGAAAGCTAGATGGCACTGAAGGTCACCAACTCCGCCAAGGAGTACGATGAAATTTTATACGGAAGGTTCGGAAAGATGGCATGGGGCGTAGGTAGCGTATACCTTCGCTTCAAAATGAAAATACGCTGGAGGAGTGAGAGATAGAGTATGATCTAGGAGAGATCCTAGAGACCACCTTGAAGTTCCAAGACGCAGGTATGGATGAACCGGAGATTCAACTCGACCATGAGAAAAAATCTGTCGAGCTCCTTCTTAATTTAGAGAGGATCGGTTGATCGGCTTCTATCGGCTAACGTATTGAAAGCACAGCAGTCCTACATGAAAGGCAGATCCACTGCGACTGCACTTCACTCGCATGTTGGAATATTTTGGTTCGATTTTATCCAGTTTTGGTAAAGTCTCTAGAGCTCTGTCAATATTTATGGTTAGCGAGTGAAGTGCAGTCGCAGTGGATCTGCCTTTCATGTAGGACTGCTGTGATCTCAATACGTTAGCCGATAAAAGCTTGTCTAATTAGGGGTCTAGAATATTTCAGAAGGAATGATGTTGGACTTATTGGTCTATATTTATTTTAATAAAGGGGATTTCCATTTCCCGCTTTCGGTATGAATACGACCGTCGCCTCTCTCCAAAGTATAGGTACATAGTTAAACCATTGTGCCATCAGGTATGGTAACACCAGCACTGTTAGCACATTGTGCATCGTGACTGGAAAAATACCGTCCAAACCATAGAATTAAAACGGTACGAAGCCGTTGATTGCCCAAAACCTTTTGATCTTCGTTATGATATCGGAAGGGGCGTACTCTACGTAATCTGCTACAGGTTGGAAAATGAAGCGTCAATACACCCAGGAAAATGCGTGTTTACAATGTATTTCAGTGATTTCTTGCGACTAACTAAATTTGAATTACATCCAGTAACTTAACATATTTCGCTTAATTTAAATGAAACACCTTTTTCTTTATTGCTGCTCTACGGTGGTACGTGTTGAAATTGTTGATATATGTTGTTATTTTGCTAGTGTATTAATAATTTTTTTTTTTACAGTTTGCGATTGTAATCTTTGCATCTTCCACTTTTAATTAACTGATTTTATTGTTCGGCGAATTGGACAGCGCTAATTCATAAACATGAATTAGACGATTTTTCCTTGTTTTGAATATTTTCACCCTTTTATTCTATATTTATGCATATGTACATAATATATAGCATGGCTCACATAAGTATTTTTCATAACTCTTGCAAACACTTAATTGTACTTTTAAGAATAATAAGAAGCTCAACCTAACTAATTTTCATGCATTTGAACGAAACTACTTCTGAAGAGCAGGGAAAATCTTTTCATCAAATTGATGTTCCACTGGAGGCTACCTATAGAGTGAAAGATTAAAGATATTAGGTAAAGCGAAAATTTCGTTCGGTTTTTTATTGATTTTTCAAAAGATGATAACTTTGTGTACATTTGTCCGATTTAAGTCAAATATGCCCCGTTTTATTCGTAAACTTGTTGCCAACGAGATGCCAACTTCATTATACCCCTCTCGTAGAAGACTGCGTCCCTATTGCCAAAAAACTCGGAGAGCCAATTTTCACAAGCCTCTCTTGAGGCCAACTTCTCACCATTAAGCGCGTTCGCCATGGACAGGAAAAGATGGTAATCACTTGGTGCCAGGTCCGGATTATAAGGTGGGTGCATTAGAACCTCCCACCGAGTTCCAGGAGCTTCTGGCGAGTCACCAAAGAAGTGTGTGACCTGGCGTTGTTGGCAGTAGAGGGCCGAATTGAGCGTTTGGCCATAGGGGAGCAGCTCGCAGTAGATGATTCCTTGCTCATCCCACCAAACATACAGCAAAACCTTCCTGGCCGTCAATCAAGTCTTGGCCACCATCTTCCCCGAGCTTTGACCACGACCGTTTGCGCGCGATGTTGTCATAAGTGACCCATTTTTCATCGCCAGTCACAATCCGCTTCAGAAACAGGTCGATTTTGTTGCGATTTGCAGATGGAAATTCGGTCCATCATGTTTTTTGCGTTAGTTCGTGTGACACCCAAAAATCGAGCTTCCTTTTGAATCCAAAGTTATGCAAATGGTTTCAAACGCTTTTCTGGCTTATCTTTGGTTCCCCAGCAATTAAATAAGTGCTCACGTGGCGGTCTGTTTCCACTATTTCTATGATTTTATCGCAATTTTCGACGACAGGCCTCCCGACGCGTGGTGCATTTTTGACATCGAAATTACCGGAATGGAACCTAGCAAATAACTTTTGTGTTACACGTTCGTTTACAGTATCGGGCCCATAAACTAAATTAATTTTTTCAGCTGCTTTGGCAGCTTTTTCGCCTTGATCGAAGAAAAATTGTAAAGTAATTTTAGCGCGAATAAACACGTTTTCAGCGCCGTATAGCATGACATGATGCGGCACGTAACACTAGTACTATGGACAAGAACTCCATCTCTTATATAAAAACCGAACGAACTTTTTACTTGACCTAATATATGTGGTGATACCAAAAATTACAAAGGAAAACTAGAAGGATTTCTTTTTTTGATCCGTCTGTCTGCACAAGCGATAAAATGAGTAAAACTTGAGATATCTTAATGCAACTTAGCAAATGCATTCCTTGGCACACTTCAGATGGGTAAAATTGAACTTTTACTAGCCTAAAAACATATGATTTTATATAATGTGAAGTAAAATCTATACAATTAAGTTACGTATATAACATCATTCAAATTGCCTTCACGACTTCATTTGCAGGAACGAATTCGATGAATCCATTTTCGAGTACTTTCTCCCCTAAATCAAGTCGTATGTCACAAATAGCACGCTCAATATTGATTTCCAAAGTTTGAAGAGAGTCTAGTTTATTGCTAAAGACCAATGACTTCAAATAACCCCACAGGAGTAGTCTAATGGTGCTAAATCACAACTTATTGGAGGCCATTCAATGTCACAATTTCTTGAAATTATCGAATCTCCAAACTTTTCTCAGCATAATTCGGTTATTACACGTGCTGTGTGGGACGTAGCCCCGTCTTGTTGAAACCAGATGTTGTCAAGGTCCACTCTTTCCCATTGCGGCCATAAAAAATTGGTTATCATCGATCTATACCGATAATTAAGGACCCATGATTCCACCAGACCAAAAACCACACCAAACTGTCAATTTAGGTGAATGTATTGCCGGATGAATCGACAATTTTGTTTATTTACCGCACCAATCCCCACAACCATTACTACCATAAAATGGCAAAAGCGCACAAAAGGTTGCAATTGAAGAACGATTATTTTGATAATAAAATTGAAAAATTTGTAAGCGCTGTTCTTGCGTATATCTTTCCACGATGAAATTGTAAACATTGCTAAATGCAATAAAAAAAATTTAAGATCATGATATTTTAATTAGGGGGACGTGCTTTATTTGCCATAATGGGGTGTGGTGACCTATATATAGTAAAAGTTAATGAAATAGCAAATATTACTATGATGTTAATGAAGACTTTGATGTGGGCCCCATACCCTAATATAATATAATGATTTCCGTCATGCTGGTTGTCTTTTTCGTATTAATTTCAATGTTGTAACTTTGGTTTACCTATATCCTGTATGGTATATGTACAAGTATGTCTCAATAAAATGAAACGAGAATATCTCGATTAACATTTTGCGCCCCAGTAGTAGAAATAACGGCTATGTACCTTCCCACAGCATTTCACGGTTAAGTTGATTTTTATATACTCGTATATACATATTTCGGACGTGAAGCAAAATTTTGTACTAAAACTGAGTGAATATACATATGTACCTATATGAATATAGTGTACGTTAATTTGATAATATTGAATGCATAAGCAAATTTTTTTCATTCAAAATTTTGCCAACAAATATTTTTCCACCTTTGAGATTTGCAAACTGTGTTCTTTCTTACTTGAAATATTACAAAGTGAAAGAATATTGTAGATATTAGAATTGTGTTACATGGTAAATAGTGATTGTAGTCCGATTTCCCCAGCTTCATATACTCCATTTTAAACTGTAGTGTGAACGTCCATTGCCCAATTTTTACCTCGAGGCATATGCATATATGATGTAAGGTCGTCCACCGCAATAGCTACTGCGAGTGAAAGAGCTGAACCAGAGAATGTAGTAGCTCAAACATTAAATCTGAAGCTGAATTACTTTTTATTCTCTCGCAACATGTTGCTACAGAGTATAATAGCTTTGTTCACCTAACAGTTATCTGTAATACCTAAAAGTAATCATAAATCGTAAAAATTTAGATACCCGTATTCCCTCCTAGCTTGCAACTGCGGAAAATATTGTTATAAGACAAAACAATTTTTAGCGCATGCTCTCCAAACCCACATCTGACCAACATATCAAGTCCTTGTTTCTAGTGTTATCATAATTGGGTCATATCTGCTTTGTTATCTAGCAGCTTAGTATTGATAACTTAGGCTGCTCTTTATTTTCCATTTTGTTTGTTGATATTATATTGTTTCTTTAATGCAGGCTATCGTT